GTGTGTGTACAGGTGTGTACATGTGTGTACAGATGTGTACAGGTGTGTGTAGGTGTGTAGGTGTGTGTACAGGTGTGTACATGTGTGTACAGGTGTGTACATGTGTGTACAGATGTTACACACGTGTGCCTCCTCTTGGTGTGTGGGGGGTGCCCACGGGGGTGGCTGTGGGTGCGCCCACACTCATTTACACAATCCCAGGGATCCTTCTCCCCTCTCCCCCTCTCCTCGGATGGTTGTAATAATATTCTGGCTCCTCTCCAAGTATCGGGGTTGCCATGGAAACAATAAAACTGCAGCGATTTCGGGCTCCGCCGTCTCCCGTGGTAAACGTGGAAGCGCTGGAGCGGGAAGGGGGCGATTCCCGGTGTCCTCAGCCCCTGCTGGGGGACACTGCCCGTGCCCCCTGGGCTCACCCGGCCTGGCACACCCTCGGGGCTTCTGGGTGGCCAACCCAGGGCTGGGGGGTTTCTATGGAAACCGTGGGATGGTGGCTGGAAGCACCTTTTCCGTGGACCAAACCCAAAATACACTTTGTGTGTGTGCGTGTCTGTGTGTCTGTGTGTCTGTGTGGCTGTGTGGCTGTGTGGCTGTGTGTCCGTGTGGCTGTGTGTCCGTGTGGCTGTGTGTCTGTCTGTCTGTGTTTGTGTGTCTGTGTGTCTGCGTGTCCGTGTGTGCACACACGGGAGCTCCGGGCGAGGGACTGGCTGGCAGGGGGGATTTGTCCCCACTCAGAGGTGTCTCAGCACCTTGGGGACCCATTTGGGGACCCCAGGGAGACACAAGCATGAGGCAGAGGGAGCTGGGCAGTGCTCAGAGGGAGGGGCTGCACGGGGGGAGATGTGTGGGTGCTGCTTGTGCACCCCCAGGGCTGGAGGGGTGCAGGGCTGAGGGTGCCCCGGCGCTCCCAGGGCTGAGGGTGGCACTGGATTTGCTCCCTGAAGGGTGAAGTGAGCCCTGCAGGTCCCAGCCTTACACGGAGCTGCCGTTAAGGGGGTGTTTCCCTGCAGGGAGGACCCGCCGTGGTGCTGCTCCAAAATGCACAGGACCACCAGGATAAAGATCACCGAGCTGAACCCCCACCTGATGTGCGCCCTGTGCGGCGGCTACTTCATCGACGCCACCACCATCGTGGAGTGCCTGCACTCCTGTGAGTG